CACCCAGCACACACACTTTTTGCCCCACTCCCCTCAGGAAGGAGGTTAAGGAGCATTAAGTGTAGAACCACTAGACTGAGGAACAGCTTCTACCCTGAGGCTGTTAGACTCATGAATCTGTAACTAGAATAATCACTGTGAAAAACCACATCATGTTGCTGCTGATCTGTTTCATGTTGCTGCTGATCTGTTTCAATGTTGATGTGTTCATGCGTGCACATCTGCTCACAGACTCATGTTCATGTTTGTGCTGATGTTCAATGTTTTATGTTATGAGTGCTTAGTGTATATTTAGTTGATGTTTTTCTTAGTTCATATCTTTGATGTTATTACTGTTTTTCTTATAAATTTACATTTTATTGTGGGATGTAACTGGGACCTTGTGTACATAATTTCGCTCCACCACATGTACCACATGAGGTGCGAATGACAATAAAGAAACTCTGACTCTGACTCTGATGTGTCACATGTGGTGGAACCAAATTGTGTACACAAGGTCCCAGTTACATTGCATGGCATTGGTGGCCTCATCTATATGAAAATCATGAAAATTAATCTTTGGTAGATCAAAGATTAATTTTCAGCCACCACAGTGTTTAATAGTGACCTTTCTTACACCTATATAGAAGTCAGTACCGCACTTATTTATCATTCACACAACCAGCACGGACAGACAGACGGAGGATATTGTAACGAACCACCTAACGGTCGGACCAAAATCACCACACAAAAAGTCAAAATTAAATTATATTTATTTTCAAGGTGAAGTATAGCAGATTGGACCGGTTCTGGTTTTGGGTTCTGGTTCGGGTTCTGGTTCCGTATCAGGAACGAGTCTATGAGACAAGAGATCGGTTAGTGGTCGTGCAGGAGATGATGGAGTGCAAAAGTCAGAATGAGGAGGACCACTAACCATCTCAGATGAGCTTGAAGGTTCTGGAGACTGACGAGGTCCAAACTGATCCGGATTGCTGCAGGAGAGGCTGAGTCTGGTGAGGGGCTGCAACCGGCTGCAGCAACAGGTGGGTGGTGAGTCCGTTGAGCGAAGAGACGTGGTCACACAAGCCAGGGTCCAAAACTGGAGAGCAGAAGACAGGAGGTACCGGAGGAGAAGACGAAGAGGCGTTGTCGTGCAGGCGAAGGTCAGAACCGAAAGCAGAAGATGTAATAATCCAAAGGGTCGAGCGAGAGACGATGTCCAGGTGAGTCGTGGGTCCATGAGCCGGGAGGTCAAGCCAAGAGGGGAAAACAAGAACCAGGAGCAGGACAGGAACAAGGTGACAGGTAAACTATAACAAGGGGACACAAAGGCTATGGGGAAACAAGGCAGGATCATAAACGCGAGGTATTTACTTGCAGTGAACTGTTTTCAACTACCGGGCACCGAAGAGGAGAAAGAGTGCAGCTTTTAAAGGGTGAGAGAGACCTGTGTAGCCAGTTGAGTTCAATCAGCTGATGCTGGCTGCAGTGAAAACAAAACTAAACAACTGTGACATCACCCTCAACCAGCATGCAAAGAAGACAAACTAAAACTCACACACACACAAAACATTACCAGAGCGGACAGAATAAATGAAACTCACAGAAAAGTTCTATAGCAAACTTTAAAGAGTGATCAGGGTGACAGAAAATATAACCTATGGAACGTGATTCGTGACAGATATTTCCAGTTCCCCCACTTAGCTCTATGAAAGGGGACATATTCACTCTGAGATAATAAACTTTACCTTGAAACTTGAACCATTGTGGAGAAGAAGGAACAAGAAAAATCATCATAGAAAGATAAACTCTTGAGCTACAGGTATCACGGTCAAATTGAGGAAGTGGCTGTTATCAAGATGCCCTATCAGCACAGAGGCACAGTGCTGTAACAGTGTACATGAATATCCATGCCACGTACAAATTCGAGGTCAAAATGGGAGACTCCATCATGTGTAACATGGTTATTGTTATTAAATGACCCCAATTGGCAGACCAAAAACACGAGGACAACAGGGATACAAAAGTGATAGTTTATTTACAGTGTGGATGTGATCTTGGCTGTGTAAGGAAAAGAAGAAGACGAGATGAGTGTCTTGATATGGATGGTCTTTGAATAACTGAGATGATTTAATGGTGGTTTGTCTTACGGTCGAATGTGGTTGCAGATGGTGTTGGAGTGGTGTGAACAGAGAGTTCAGAATCCAGAGATGGCAGGGAATCCAGCGGGTGAGTATTGATCGATGATGCAGTCTTGGTTGAAGGATCCAGAATGTAGTTTCTTAACATGGGTTCGGTGTGCAGGATTGGCAACCAGACACAGCCACGAGGAGACCAGACAGGCAGGATGAACGGGAACTGAACAGACGGGCAGAAAGGCAACAGGTTAGTATAACACTTGAACACACTTAGGTTTGGCTGGCTGTCACAATATTACCAAAGGCAATAAATGTTTGAGCGTCGGCTGAACGTCTGGTTGTGGCTTAAGTACCATACCATACCAATTTATTTATAGAGCACTTAAAACAGCAACAAGGCCAACCAAAGTGCTGGACAAAAGAAAACAAACATGCACAGTGGACAGGAAAACAAAATAAAAATACAGATACAAATAGCAGCAGAAGCTAACTAAAATGGCCAACAGTGTAGAGTACAGACAGGACCAAAACAAATCACACCGTGTTAAAGGCAAGAGAACAGAAGTGGGTCTTCAAGCGAGACTTAAAGACTGAGAGTGTGGGAGCCTGCCGGACACTCAGTGGCAACTCATTCCACAGTCGTGGACCTGCAACAGAGAAAGCCCTGTCACCTCTGAGCTTACGACGGGTTTCTGGGATTGAGAGAAGCATCTGGTCTGCTGACCTCAGAGAGCGCGGTGGGACATATGGCTGCAGAAGATCAGTGAGATAGGATGGAGCGGAACTGTTCAGTGATTTAAAAACATACATGAGAATTTTGAATTGGATCCGAAGGTGAATGGGTAGCCAGTGCAGGGAGGCCAAAACTGGCGTGATGTGCTCTCTATAGCCTGTACCAGTTAAAAATCGGGCTGCAGCATTTTGGACCAGTTGAAGACGTGAAATGGAGGACTGACTGATTCCAAACAGAAGTGAATTGCAGTAATCAAGCCTAGATGTTATAAAGGCGTGGATCACTGTCTCAAGGTTCTTTTTGGAGAGTATAGGCTTCAGCTTAGACAGCCGTCTCAGCTGAAAAAAACTAGATTTGACCATCATGTTTACGTGACTGTTGAGTTTTAAGGACGGGTCCATTATCACCCCCAGATTAGTGACCTTTTGTTTCTCTAGCGGGGCTAGAGAGAAAAGGTCAATGTCATGGTTCATGAGTGAGCCACTGGGATGGAACAGCATGACTTCAGACTTCTTCTCATTGAAGCTTAAGAAGTTTAAAGCCATCCAGTCCCGGATGTCAGCCAGGCAGTCAAGAAGAGGCTGAATAGAGCGTGTGCCTCTGTGCCTCAGGGGGAAGTAAATTTGGCAATCATCGGCATAAAAGTGAAAGGGTATGTTGTGTTTGCGGAAAATAGCACCTAGTGGCAGCAGGTATAAAGAAAAGAGAAGGGGACCGAGGATGGACCCCTGCGGTACCCCCCACTGGAGCGCTGTCGATGCCGAAGTAAAATCTTTGATATTGACACAGAAGGTTCTGTCAGAGAGGTAGGACCCAAACCATTTAAGGGCTGACCCTGTGATGCCCACCCACTGCTCCAGTCTAGAAATGAGGATCTTGTGGCCGATGGTGTCAAAAGCAGATGTAAGGTCCAACAGAACAAGCAGCACAGAATCACCTGCATCTGTGGATATGAAAATGTCATTAAAAACCTTCAGTAGAGCAGTTTCAGTGCTATGGAGAGATTTGAAGCCAGATTGGAATAACTCTAGGATAGCGTGATCCCCCAAAAACTGTTTCAACTGATACTCAACAATTTTTTCCAGTGGTTTAGAGGTGAATGGGAGTCTGGAGACAGGCCGGAAGTTGGACATGACTGAGGGGTCAAGGTTAGGTTTTTTCAGGAGGGGCTGGACAGCAGCATGTTTAAAAGTCTTTGGCACCACACCTGAGGATAAACTGCTATTCAGAATAGCGAGAATAAAAGGACCCAGGGTAGGAAAAACTTCCTTTAGTAGTCGAGGGGGGACCACATCAAAGGGGGAACCAGATGGCTTCATGCTGCACATTACCTGCTCCAGAGAAGACAGAGAGATGGGCTCAAAGTGGTCAAACACAGCCACACACTGAGATGGGATGGACAGATCATGAGCTGGTGGAGAAATGAGTGCCCGTGGGTT